GAATGCTGCAGAAACAAAGGTTGGTTACGGAGAGACATGGCTGCTGAATTCCTGTACTGCTCTGTGTGTTTATGTGTGCATGTGTGCTTAAGATGAGGGAGACTTAGATGTATTGATTTTACAGCAGCTTTTTTCTCCGCTCTTAAATGAAGTGGAATGAGGAGCAAATAGCCTGGCAAACAAAAGAAACAGTACTATTATTGTAACTGCCTGAGGTTTTATACTCCAAGTGCAGAATCGTAAGGAAGATGGGCCCTGGAGTCTATTTGTCATATATGCCCATGTGACATCCCTGCCAAAATGTGGAGCAGCCTGAAACCCAGCCAAAAACCCAACCTGTCACCTACTGTAGCATTAAAGGTCAGGAATAGTGCTTGCTTGCAGTTATTTAATAAAATACTTCATTGGTTTCCATGCCTCTCTGCAAAAATGGGACTGGAAAAGTCCTTTCCACCTGCACTGTTGAAGTCCTTTTCCTTGGAGACTGCTGGTGCATCGCTGCAGACCAGGCTGTGCTGCTATGGTCACACTCCAGGTTTATTCCAGTGATGGCAGCGACTGGGTGGGAAAGTACATCCCTCCTTCTCCTCTCCCTTCCTCTCCCCTTCCTTCCCCTCTCTCAAAGTTGGTTGATGGCTCTGATTACAAAGCCTCCAGGAAAGCGGTCTTAGTCGTAAAAGGCCAAAGTTCATCAACTTCCATTTACATCAGTAAACATGAACAATTCTTCCTGAGCCTGAGAAATCAATTCCCACAATACATCAGCCAGTCGTGCTTTAACGGACTGAATTGAAATGCCCCTTCTAATCTGCATCAGAGGAATAAAAAAGATCCTATCGCATAATGTGTAAAGATGGGAGGGGATGGGGGAGCGGTACTCACCATTGCACATGCAGCGCACATTCCTGTAAAAGCGGGGGCACACAAAACTAATTCGTGCCGTGCTATAGGTCATCAGGGAATGTGAATCAATAGATAGACTTTGCTCACAGTGTTGTTCCTGACAATCCAGTCCAGAGCAATTCTTCTCCAAGATAGCAGAAATACGAATCACATTTTCCAAGTGTCTCCTTGCATTGGTAAGCTTCTGAATCAAATAGGCAGGCTTATAGAAACCACCGTTGTGCATCTGAACTGCAAACAGCATGTCAAGCTGATTGCTGCCTGCCACCGGCTGAATACTGATGATGTGCAGGCTGTCTTGTTTTTGGGAGAGCACTGCGTTTCGCAAGGTACGCCTGAACCCGTGCATGTGAAGGCCAACAAAGTCTTCAGGGGAAACGTTCTCAAAACGGATGGTGACCGTGTTCTGCAGCATTTCTTGTAGCAATTGCTCGACGTGGACCACAACATCGATGGGTACCTGGAACCGTCCATCACTGACAGAGACATTCAGGACATACTTGCCATTATCGAGCCCTCCAAGGGCAATGATCTTTCCATCATGGCTGTTGACCTTGAACAAACTTTTCTGCTCTGATTTTAGTGTATATGTGAGGACATCATACACATCCTGATCCGTGGCATGAATTTTCCCAATGACTCCCCCAGGAAAATCATCTTCCATGGTGACAATGAAAATCTCCAGTGGAATGGCAGTCGGTTTATGAATGCTCTCTTCAATAACCCTCACCTGAACATACGTGTGGGAAACCTGCTGAGGCTTCCCAGAGTCCTTTGCCTAATGCAATTTAGGAAAAATAAAAAAATAAAAAACAAAATAAAACACACATATAACACAGCCAACAATCATAACTTCTCACTATGCATATCTTCACAGCATCAGTAATTCTGAAGACCTCTCAAAAGAACTTCCCAAACGCATTTGCAAAATACATATGTAAAGAAATGTCTCAGCTATTTCTAGCAGTGGAACTTACAAACTCTTTAGGGAAGCACAGATATCTCATCTAAGTGGATTGCAGAGAGAAATGTGTCAGCAGAATGTCTCATTACTCAAACTGAAATGTTCCCAGGATCCCACAGCTATCACTTGTCCTCTTCACAACAAAGCCATTTGAATGTGGTATACTCTGCACCAAATGCAGTTTGGGCTCAGTTCTACCCTGGGAAAGAGACTGAAGCCCGGAGAAATTCCAGCATCACTTTCTGCATTGCTTGGTGTGCTCCAAAGTGTTTCAGACCCTGCTTAGTTTGTGTGTTTGTGAGGGAGTTCAGATTTTTTCTACAGCCCTCTGTACTACTTTACCTGATGCAGGCAAGAAACACACTTGAAATAAATAAAATTTATCACCCTCCAAAAATGAAATAGGGTGCTTGTGCTGTTACTAACGATAAAATATAAGAGCAGCACTGCACTTGGGCAGACGACTGTATGACCCAGAGCACACATGATAGTATCATTTGCACTTTTTTATAGAGAGTAAAAGAGCAAGTATGACAACAAACCCAAGGCCACCTTGACAGAAAGGTGTGCAAACTTGAATCAGTGTCCTTTCGTGCGCTAAGAGAAATGTTTCATTGGAGTCACTATTAAGATATACTACTCCACACATTTATTTGCTTCAGAGAAGAACAGAAGACTAAACTACCACTGGGCAGAGATGTAGCACACATTCGAAGATCTTTGGGAGGAACATGGGGAGGAAAATTTACAAGCTGAAGAAAAAGAAAAGGCAGGATGGCAACAGTAATATGGATATTACTAGGAAAGGATTAGTAACTTTAAGACACTCTAAAAATCATTCATCCTCACTCCTAAAAGAGCTGGGTGGAGTATTTTAAAAAAAGGTTTCATGTGCGCGCGCGCACACACACACACTTACATGCACAGAGATTACATCCCATTCCACTTTCAATTTTAACATTACTTTTTAATAAACCTAACACAGAGGAGGAACATGATGGTGGAAAGGAGAAAGCAGCCCTCTGGCACATATGAATGGAAAGAAACATTTCTATGGTCTATACACAACAGGAAACTATAAAATATGTTTTCACTGCAGAAATCCCTAAAGAAAATAATACTGGGAGGAATTAGGCCTCCACCATCCAACAGTGTGGTTTTCTCAACATGTTGGTGCATCTCAGACATTGTGGTTTGTCCAATATTTCATTTCTATGACATACTTGGATCTGTATAACTAGAGGATGCTGCTTAAATTTAATTCTAATGCCCAATTTTGGCTATTCTGGAACTTTGGCTACCAAATTGCCCTGAAAGCAGAATATTTAGGATGCAGATATGGTAAGAATGAAAGGTGAGGTTTTTTTAATTTTCCTACAAGCTCAAAAATGGGTTGCAGGAATATTAAACAGCAAACTTGCAAAACATTACTTGGATTTGAACTGTCAATCAGCATCAGAGCTTATATTTTTTGAATTGCAACTAACTGAGTATGCTACTGCTACAAACAGCATTAAGTGTCCTTGTAAAGGAGCAGACAGGCTGTATTTACAAAAATCAATCCTAGTAAAGCAAGTGGAGGAAGCCTGCATTTCAGACTTAGATTAGAGGACCATGTCCCATTGCTGTGAAGAGGGGTAATTCCTTCCCTAGACTTGCTTATTTACTGAACCCTACTACATTTTCTCTGGCAGGCCTGAGAAATGTGGATAAATTACTTTTGGATTTACAGTTTTTTGTAATCAGAATTACCCTGGTTACAAAGTTCCTCAACAATGACTCTAAAGCTAAGTTTGAGCTGGACTTCCATTGCATGTCTCATTTTCACATTCTTTAAAAGCTAAGTTGACCTTGGAAATGTGATTTCATGAATTCTTGGTAGGCTTCCAAAAATTTATGATTAAATTTATGACTTAAAAGCAGAAGTGATTTTCCTTCCTAGAACAATATTTTGCTGTCACTCGTTCTGTGGTGTATTTATATGTATATAATGCATTTTTGCTTATTTTCCTCGCTTAGCTACAGAAAAAAAAAGATGAAAATCTTAAATCATAACGGCCGCTGCTCAGAAAATCCATTTCATGCGGAGGAAATTGGAAAGTGGCTGGCTACCTATTTATATTTATATGAAATTAGGTTTAAGGACATCAAAGGAAATATACCATGTTGTGCACTTGTAAACTGGAATGCATGGTATTTACTCATAGAATACAGTCAATTAAAACCAACCCATACAGGCAATGCACAGATGACCTACCACTATGAGGGCTTTATTTTCTGTGCAGATGCAAAAATCAAACCGTACCTGCACGCAGAGCACATACTCGGTTGCAACCATGTGCTTGAAAATGACTGCAGATCTCAAGACGCCTTGAGGGTCCAGCGTAAACTCCTCCTCTTCATTGCCAGTGAGGATGGTGAAGGTAAAAGGGGGGCCATTGTGAAAAGAGTCTTTGTCTGTCACTACCAGCTGCAAAATGCTTGTGCCCACTGGTTTATTTTCCTTTACACATATACACAGTGTATAAAGAAAAGGATTAAAATTACACATATCACAATCATAAACCACCACATATTGCTATCGAGCATATTCAACCGAAGCTCTTTGCCCAAGACAGCTTTTCACTTGGCACTGCTTATGCCCCATGGACCGGTAGCAGAGATGGACCGAGGAGCTCTGCCTGACACTGTGTCTGATCAGGACTGACCAAACCTTAAGACTTACTTACACTCTGAGCAAGGTGTAAAGAAGTCTGAGCTCATCCCAGCTCAGAATTTTTGAGGCCAGAGTGCAGTTTCTGGTGCAACAGGGATGAGCAGTAAAACGTGTGACAGACGCCAAGGTTAAGGAGCCTCAGCAAACAGGAACTTACCAAAGAGGTAAGAAAGATGTGTTTACACTTTACTTCAAATAAGATCACTTGATACATTTTTGGCAGATAAATCATCAAAAGCTACTTAAGTGAAACCAAATGCTTTTATATTTTAAAAGTCAGAGAAGTTTTAGATGTGCAGGATAAACTTACTTGAATTACAGCTGTATAGTTAGCTGGAGTAAATACAGGGCTATTATCGTTCACATCGGAAATGTCCACGTTGACTGTCACAGATGAAGACAAAGGAGGGGTGCCACTGTCTCTTGCCTGGATAACTAATGAATAACCAGATATCTGCAAAAAGGTGAAAACATTAAATCATTGTGAAAGTGGTCTTAAATTTTAACTCATCTTCTTTACGTGCAATGCACCACCTACCATATTCTAAGGAAAGCTGTTTGGCCTCATTACTTTCCCTGCCCTTAGTATAACATTATCCTGTTTACTGCCATACTGTGTCCCAACTTCTGTTTTATAAGGCTATCAATAAACATAACAGCTTCACTGTATTAAAATAACTGTATCAGATGATGGATTCCTGAAACAAAGGGGCAGACAAAAAATAAATGGCGGATAATATCCAGACTCAGATGTTACTACTGTAGCTAACATTGTCGGCTCTCCTTGGTGTCAGCTGGGATATGTGACCTCATTCTATTTATCTTATGGCTGGTTTGTATAAATTGCTTATTAGAGCCTGTTTGACACACAACGTTTCTAACATGGTGATGGAGAACCAAGAAAAAGTTCACAGGCAGTTGCCTTAAACACATTGGAAAACATTTGGGACTACTAGGGACAACACAGTCTCTGTAGCAACAGGGTATTATCCACCATTCAGTAGAAAAGGGTTTTTTTTGAGCATACTTGTTTGCAACAGCCGCAAACTACTCAGCATGGCGTGGGCAGTTCAGTGCATCACCCGTGGGCCCTCTACACACATATGTGCCCGTGCCTGAGGTGTGAGCGTATGTGACAATTTGCAAAAGCTGCGTCTATGCACAGCTTATGGATAACAGTTTGATTTTATGAACTGCATCCTTATGTTGGGCTCCATACGTCTTACAACCGCTTTTTACTGTATATCGCTCTGTGCTCCCCAGGGAGAGCTGCTGACACGTCTGCCCGTGAATCCTTCCACAGGGGAGGGAGCGAGGGGCAAACCGCGTGCCAGAGAAAACAGCCCACTCCAGCCTCTTGTGTGGGGCTGGAAAGGGGAAAAAAACCCACCCCCACAGAGGGGAAGGGCATAATGGTAGAGGTGATATTTCAGGGTGGGAGTAAATCCAAAGCCCTTTGAAAAACAAAAGCCATTTGGGTAGGAAGAAGGAGTACAGGCAAAGTGTACAAAACAAGGAGGCTCTTCTGGGATGTGGGACCAAGCTAAAGAAAAAGGTAACAGTTTTATGGAGGGGTTGTAGGGAGGAGAAAGACTGTGATTTGGTGGGGGTGCAGTGGCAGAGGAGGGAGGAAGAATCCTGAGCTACGGAAATTCCAGAAACTGAGGCAAAGAATCAAATTTTTTTTTCCCCTTTCAAGCTGTAATTTCTAGTGCTAAAATCAAGACTGACAGTTTTGTGGGGGTCTCTCTCAAATTTTGTGTGTGTTTGCTTTTATTTCCATGTATCCCAGAAAGGTAGGTGACAAAAATCATGGTTTCTATGTGATTACAGCTCTGGAAATGAGTTTCCTTAAACCACTGAAACCTGGGAGTTAGCACTGTCTTTGGGGATCTACAGCAGATGGGGCATCATGTATCATTTTCCCTGAAGGGAAAGAAACACCTGTGTCTAGGAAATGTGCCAAGGAAGCAAAGAAAAAGACAATAACACAGCTTATTTTAACCGAGGGAAACTTCAGAAAATGCAGATCTAACAGAGCTGGCAATAAACATGCACATGCTGGTGAGGGTGAATGTGTGTGTCTGAATGCAGATGTACATGAGTACACTTCAGAAACTAAAAAA